TGATATTTTGTGATTTTTTATATGAGATGGACTTTATTGAGGTTCTCTCCACTGACTGAATTTTCTGCTTCTGGTGGATTCACTGTGAATCTTGTGCTGGACTTTGTCTCCATCTGGTGGACAAACAGAAGAACCACGCATGTGGAGAACCACCTGGGTTGTATCCTGATGTTCCCAACGGTTTGTTCTTGTCTCACCTGACAGGGTGACGATCCTCCACCAGGTGTTCCTGCTGTTTGTTCTGCAGAATGTGATGAAAGTTGGACCGGTGGTTCTGATTATAGGACCTTCAGCTGCAGCAGCAGCTTTCGTTCTGTTTGAGGCTCGGTTTGTTCTGTTTTGGTTTCCTCAGTCACCACTGCGTTCCTGTTCCGAGTTCTCCATCAGCTTGAGTTCCTCCCTTTGAGAAGAAGTTTGTGTTCAGTCGTCCTTATTTGTTCTTTAACGGTGACAAAATACTTTGTGTTGTTTAATCGCTTTTCCTTCTTTTACCTGCTTCAGGACGCCTTCTGTTGTCCTTCACATGCCAGAGATCCACAGAACCAGAACCAGAACCTTTCACTGAAAAAACACAAATTCCTTTTATCTTTATGGGAACTTAAACATGTCAAACGTTTATTGTTCAGCTAAAAGTTGCTCAGAAAACATTTTTGAAACTTTATTTCAAAGTCAGAATATTCTGCAGCGATCAAAGCATGTGTGTGTGTGTGTGTGTGTGNAATATAAAATAAACTGTAATGATATGAAATAAACTAATAATATGAAATAAACTGTTATAATATAAAATAAACTGTAATGATATGAAATAAACTAATAATATGAAATAAACTGTTATAATATAAAATAAACTGTTATAATATGAAATAAACTAATAATATAAAATAAAGTGAAATAATATGAAACTAGCTGAAATCAAACAGAATTTAATTTCAAACATTTTCACTAAAAGAGGAAATAAAACATTTTTCTCTTCAGTTTAATTCGGGTCAGATTAGTATTTTTTCTTGATAAATATAATTAAGAATCAGAAACGAGTTTCTCTGAAGCTTCGGGCTGAAGAACAAACGTCCCGTAAATATTCTGACAAACTCAAGTTTTTCTGAAGAGAAGGAGCAAAGAGTGGAGCTGCAGCGTTTCTCTGCTCCGTCTGATGGAAATCATCTTTAGTCTGTTTGACCTTCAGCTTCTCAAACAACACTTATCATTAAAAATCTGACATTTCTCTGTTTTTCTTTTCTTTCCTGCTTCGCTTTTCCCTCCCAGCTGCACTGCGTTTCATTTACTGCTAGAATTTGCTGCTAATTAGATGAGTTTGTGTCTGACGCAGATTAGAGCGGTTGGAGGATTAAAGGTCCGCTGTGGTTCCGCTGGGACTCCAGCTCCCACAATCCCTCTGAGTGTTACCTCTGAGCGGCCGTGTTGGCGTCCACCACGCCGGCCGAGTGCATCCAGGAGCGAACGGCCAACGGCTCCTCCTTCATGCTGGCCGTCGCCCCGCGAGGAAGGTTCTCCTGGATCCCGAACATCTCAGCGAGCAGCACAAACGCGACGAGGAAAAAGTCCGACGGCTTCACAGGACGGAACCGAGCTGCCGGCTGCTCGACATGTTCTTCAGCCAAGAAGCAGAGAAACAGACGCTGGACAACTTTTTCAGATTTAATTCAACTTTTTACTCTGACAGAAAATAAAAAACAAGGTTTTTTTGTTTTTTTTTAAATTGTGGGGATTCGCGCTGAACGCGGCGATAACGAGAGAAGGAGCAGAAAAAAGAGAAATAAAATCCTCAGAGGAGAGGAACTGTCTGTTTTCCCCAAAGAGGAGCAGCAGCAGGAGGAACTCGCAGCCCTGCGGCCCCACAGGACTGGACGGAAACCCAAAAACCCCACGGGTCTCCTCTGAGCCGCCGTGACATCACCGGGGGGCGGGGCCTGCCATATAAGGCCAGCAGGAGCAGGGGTGTGTGTGTGAGGGGGGGAGGCGGCGCTCGAACCGACCAACCAGAGAGACAGACAGCAGGTGTGTGTGATGGAGAGAGAGAGTGCCCTCGATCGCCCGCTGCACTCATTAACTCTCTCTCTCTCTCTCTCTCACACACACACACACACACACACCAGTAAGAGTCTGAACTGGTTTCACATGTTCCCACTGCAGCTGAGCTGGTGGATGTTCTTGTGTGTGGTTGGGAAGCCGGTGAGGGATCTGGTCTGGTTCTGATCCATCAGCAGGTTCTAACCGACCGTATCGGGTTCAACACGTCACACTCGTTCCTAATCAATAAGTACTGAACTGATCACAGGGAGCATTGGTCCTGGTTCCGTCCTCAGGCTCCTGTTTGGTCCTCAGGTGGCCCGGTTCCATCCAGAACTCTGCTGGTCCCATTCAGACTCTGAGCTCCGGCTGGAGGTCACGGGCCTCCAGAGGCTCTGTCCCGGTGCCGGAGCTGCTCGTCCGTCCACAGCTTGGAAACACTTCGGTCCTCTGATTTTTCACTAAATTCCACGAGTTTGCTTGAATCCTCCGATCCGTCACGTGTGTTCTGCTGGTTCTGCTCAGATCTTCTGACCTCCTGCAGAGCTGCAGGACGAGCCGGTGGCGGCTCACGCCCAGCGGCCCAAACGTCTGGCCCAAGCTGAGCTGATGTAAATGCTGAGGAGACATGGTGGAAGTGAGGATGGACAGAGGTGTGCTGGAGCTCCGTCCAGATGCAAACAGCTGCACTCAGGCAGCAGAGCGACCGCCGGCCTTCGTCCGTTTGCTTTTTACATCCAGACTCCTGCTTTTCTTCTGTGCTTGATGCGTGCTGCTGATCAGACGGAGGCTTCCAGAGGAAGCAGAGCTGGTGTCAGACGGAGGAGAGCTGTGAGGCCTCGGAGGCTCGGAGGGGAGGACCGATCCGACGGAGAGGAGGTCCGTCTGCTGCATCCTGAGAGCAGACGGAGGAAGAAGGAGGAGAGCAGCAGACGGCAGGTCAGCCTCCAATTATTCATTTATTAAAAACAATAAAGCTCAGAGCTTCGGGTCAGACGGATCCATCGATAGCGGATCAATACCCAGTAATGATGTCATCACAGGAATGAAGCGCTGATGATTCCATTTAAACAGACGAATAAATGATGAATAAACGACGTGTGTGAGCGGCGGCGGGTCGCTGAGCGGATCCACAAACGAGCTCAGACGTCTGATCACGGTTCAAAGCTTCATGCTGAGTAAAGGAGGACAACCAGACAGGAAGTGATCAGACGGCACCGATCAATAGATTTATACAGAACAGGAGTGTTCACAGGTTGGAGTAAAATAGGAGCTGCATGTGCTTTTATTCTGAATTCTTCTTCTCAGTATTTTTATTTTAAAAGAAGCACCAGTAGGTTCTGATGGATTTATTGATAAAGCCTTTGTGTGGCTGATCAATACAACGTGTTTCTGATCACAGCTGATCGGTTAATGTGAGGATCAATAATCAGAAGGACCCTCAGCCTGCAGCTTTTATTTAAATGTGTTTTATGACCTGATGCATTTACAGGGAGAGAAACTGGGTTTGGTTCCGCAGCAGATCAATCACGTTTCATTATTCCACCGTTACATGAGGATGTAGATCCACGCGGTACCGTCCGTCCTCTGTGGACCCGCCTCAAATCGGATCTCCTCCAGCTCCCGAATGAAGATCACATTTAGGAGTCTGCCTCCAAGATTTCATCTCAGTTCTCATTCATCTGCGTTTTCTAATAAAACGCTGGTTCTGGTTTCTGACCTTCAGGAAAGAAGAAAATCCAACAAATTAAAATACTTCCTGTTTCAGTCTGCTGCAGTCTCACGGCGAGCGTCAGAGTTTCTACGAGCAGCCGGAACAAACCAGCAAACTTTTAACAGCTTCGTTCTGTTGAACTCAGATTTCAGGTGAATTCATTCAGAGGATTTAAACTCAATTATATGTTTTATAGGATTAAAAAATCAGTTTAATGATGAATTATTGTTTCTGCTGTTTGTCAGCTGATCGCACGTGTGTGTGTGTGTGTGTGTGTGTGTGTGTGTGTGTGTGTG